CACAAATTTTTGCCCCAGGGAAACAACACACCTCCCAGGAAAACTTGTCAAGCCCACAAACTACTGCTTCTGTACCCCTCAACAAGGAGTCCCCCATGACCGCCACACACCTCCTCTGAGGCTTAACAGGTGACTGCAGTAACTCTCTCAGTGTCCATATTGAGAAATCTTAAGTAAGAACTGAAAAAGGACTGTGGGCTTCTCCCTCAAAAAGTGCCTTGGTAAAGATCCATGTAAAGGACCCCTGTTCTCTTGGCCTTTTCACCAGGCTCTGTCAGCGAACTCAGTCAACTGGGTTTCTAACTCTACAGAGAGCTCCTGGACTTTACCTTATTCTGGAGGCAAGTCTCTGACTCTCTTCCTCTGACCAAAAAACCCCTCAAAGACCTTTAAATTATTTATTATTATTATTAGCAGCAGGTGAACCTCTAAAAATAAAGGTCAAAGCCCTCCCCCCCATTCTACCAGTGCTGTGCTTTCCCTTGTCCTGTCAAGAATTCGTGTGCCGTTAACTGCTTTCTTTCTCCTTCCTGGCAGGAACTGTCCTGGAAAGCCTCTGAGAGGAGTTCTATGGAGCTAGTCAGCTAGCTCCACCACCTATTGACTCACAGATATGGCTCACTGAAGCCCCACCCACTCAGCAACAGACACACTTTCCCCAAGTGTTTTTTTTTTTAAAGTTAAACTCTCACCCACTCAAAATGGCTACCCACAAACTGCTTTCCTTCTCCTTCCTGGCAGGAACTGGCCTGGAAAGCCTCTGGGAGGAGCTGTATAGAGCTAGTCTCAGCACCTTGTTTCAGCACCTTGAATTCACCATCTCATTGAGATGGAAGCCACCAGGCACCATTGATATTGACTTGTCCTTCAAATCTGAGCTGCATATTTTGCTCATCTCTGGTTCCACAAACATCCAACACACACACATATATGCCAGTGCAAATGAATAAGTTCTGATGTGTATTTCTAACATGTCTAAACAGAGTATCAGACAATTCCTTTAGAAGAAAACAAAATATGTGATGGGAATTCTGTTTATTAGCCCCAACCAAAATTGATAAATTGAATCAATTTATAGTTGCAATCCTACATTCCTTCAGCATAGCGTAAAGATCCACTTGCAGACCTATGGCCAGCCAAGCCATATACCCTCAGCCCAACATACTGAAAAGTGTTGGCTATTCTCTATTCCATCGGTTGCAGGCAAGATTTCAGAAGCATCTCAGATGTGAAATGATAACATCAGCGAGGAGGAGGATCCTGGTGGATCTCAGTACTGATATAATTCATTTTGCATCTGGTTATGTGGACATATACATATGCTTTTGCTATTCTACCTACTCCTCATGAAACAGGGAACAGTTACTCTAAATGTGTGGGGCCTGTAGAGCCTCCACTGACAGTTGCAATCTATCTTTAATTAAATTGAAGAATATCTAATTTGGCTATGCAGGAGGGGGTAACTTATGCAGGAACTAAGTATCAGCTATACCAGCAATCACTGATATATCCTCCAGGCATGGGGAACTACATGAATTTTTATTACGAGAAATATTAAAGAATACACACACAAAGGTAACCCATTCAAACAAGAACCGTACAGAGCTAACTGAAATAGAAAAATAGGAGGGTAGAAGAGTCTTAGGGCTGGATGAAATAATAGCTACCTGTCTTGAAGAAAAGGGTCCATAGAAAGTTGGGAAGTATGAAGACTCAAGCTGTGAGTCTTGAGTATGCAGATTTTGGGAGGCAGACAAAAATGGAACAAAAGGACTCATACTGAGGTCTGAGGGCATCAGCCATCATACATATAGCCGGGGAGGGGACTGTAACAAAAATATTATATTTTGGGCTGATATTTATACCCTTAAAGCCAACCTCCATCCATAGAGGCTCTCTGGGAAGTCAAAAGCTTGATTGCCCCTCAAGGGAACCTGAGAAGGTTCTCCAAAGCAGAGAGCATGTTTTGATATTTGGGAGATGAAAGAGATTTTATTTTGATTGATGATACTTCATGGACTTTGCAACATCTAGAAAAGATCTAGAGTCCCCAGAAATGGCAAAACTAATCTTTTGGCTTTTGGTTTCCATCAAAAATGGAGAGGGATGGGTATGGCAGCACTCTTTCAGCAATCTCCTTCATCCCCACAGTGTTCCACATGGCTGGGTCTACGTGTCATTCATGTTACCTATTCTGGTGCTATGTATGTCATTGCAACTGTGACTGCTCATGCTGATGTCTAATTAAACCATAGGTAGATTGATAAATATATTAGGGGATGTTTGGATGGTTATAGAACACGCATGGTGGGGGGGGGCTTCAGGGATTTTCAGGACATGATCGAGGGGCTCTGGCTGTTGTGGAGGGAAAGAGGGAATGCCAAGTGCCACTGCACCTCTCTAAAAAGGACACCCACATGCATAAGGGAAACGTACATGTGCAAATATCTCTAACAGGATGCTAGCCACTGATGAGTCAACATTCAGGTAAATCCAATGATTTAATGACCCTACTCTAGTTGGAACTAATGATAGAATGTAGTACTACAATTGTCCCTTCCTGTTTGTGGACTTGAAATCTGCAGTCTTGCTCTTCACAGGAGTGATAAGCGGGAAGGGACAAAATCACCATGGGCTCATGCACCATTATTTTCAATTGGAATTGAATATTTGCAAGCTACCAAATTTGTGGGAGGTGGGCGGGTCTGGAACAGATCCCCCACATATTTGGAGGGGTTTACTGTATATCTTTCATAGTCAACAGAACAACAGTGACAAAGAGTGATTGGAATCCTCTAGGGCAGTTACAAATGCATAGCCTAGAATTACACTTTCATGACTGTTTGATATTCATGATCCCTATATATTGCCTACATTTAGGGGACACACAGGGACCATGGAAGTCCTCCAATCCTGCTTACTGGGCAGCATCCACAGTGATCAATGGGGGTCTGTTCTATTGGCATTTAGGAAACAGCTGCTGACATTTCACACACACCCATGTGGGCATTCTCTGGTGTGAAGGGAAACTGTGACAGGGACCCTACTTCTGGCTGTTGTGATTGCTTAAGGGGGGGGACAACATCAGTCAGCTGTGATCAATAGGGGAACAGATACATATCAACTGGAGCAATCATTGCCCAGTAAGTGGGGATTGGGGGGCTGGGAGACTCCTTCGTAACTGCCCAAGAGGATTTTGGCCATTATACTTTTAAGAATCAAGGAGAGCTGTGTTGGATCAAACCAAAACTTATCTAGTCAAGTATTCTGTTCCTATAGTGGCCAGACAGATGTCTAAAGGAAGCCCATAAACAGCACTTGAGGACAGCACCCTTCTATTTGTGTCCTTCAGAAACTTGAATACAGAGACATGTTCTGCTTCATTGGACGATCCTGGATACTAAGGTTATCATGCATAATTTTATAATGAAAATAAAAACACCCACTCTTAGCCAAACCAAAAAGATTTATGGTATTTACACACTGCATAACTACAGCAGTTTGATCCTACTAGAATGGCTTCATCCTAGGGAATCCTAGGAGTTTAGCGAGGAACTTAGAATTCTCTCTTACACCTCTGGAAATCACAGCACTAGAGCTTGCCAGCTGAAAACTCTCGTTCCTCCTCCTATTATAAATCCTAGGATGCCATAGGATGGAATGATAACTTTTAAAGCTGTATCAAACTGTTATAGCTGCACAGTATGTGGATACTTCTTCAGATACTGTAACTTTTCTGCATAGTAAGAGTTTCTCTTTGTTAGCACATGCATCCTAGATGGTTGGGTTGGTTATAGAAGCTGTTCTGCCTCCGCCTCCTCCTTGTGCTTAACATTCACAGAATAATCAGTACCTCCTATTCTTGTTATAGCTGTTAGACTGTCCATGGTGTTGGCATCCCATGGTGTTGATTCCCTGAAAAAGTGTGCTTAGGACTGCAACCTTAGTATGCTTTGTGGGCATACTAACAAGTTATTGATTATAAACAAAGCTGGAAAAACTTTTAGGGCTGAGTCTCATGTATGTTTCCCCTGAACACTAAGTGTAATGGGATGCTTGTTCCCATGTAAGTCTTACAGTGTAAGCATCTTAGGAAGATCCAGCTGCTAACACTGTAGAGAGTGGGGCTACTTTGGTGTTGAGCAGAAGTTATGATACGCAGTCCTGATGTCACATCAGTGTGATATAAGAGATGGCCAATGCCAAGGAAATGTGATATAGTTTTTCATTTCCACTGCCCTTCAATGTGCAGCAAGGGCAGTTTGGTGTAATATAGAATTATGGTGGCACAGCAAAGCAGTACTGTATATATAAAGAGTTTTTCCTCTGACATTATGCTTATAAATCACTTTTCAATACTGAGTGCTACTTGTAAACGTTGAGGCTCAGAGGCATCTCTCTCTCTATCTAGACATCCCAGGTGAGCAAAAACAAAGAACATTACCTTCTGTAATTAATTTGTGATAAACTGCCCATTTTTTTGTTTTTTTGTTTTTTTAAAACCCACTACTTATCTTCACTTTTATTCAAAGGGATTTTATACACATTATTCATGTTCAAAATTTGAGCAACTCAACATTTAGGCTCACTGCTCCTTTTTCTAGCAGCTCTTTTCCAGCAGCTCTAGCCTCTTTTGGCAACCCACTTGACAGATGTGATGGCCAGGAAATCGAATTCTGATTTAGATGTCTGTTCACTGATTTAGGAGTCTGTCTTTCCCCTTCCCATCCCATGTCTTACATAAGCTGTTTACCACTCCCCCCCCCCAAAAAAAAACCCTTTAGAAAACATAACATGTGGCTTGGCTTTTCATTATCCTTGCATGTTTGGCACTGAATTTATTTACTTGTTTCCCACAATGAACTTTGTACAAGTAGGATAACTGCTCTGGACAAAAAGTAAAGAAATGAGCTTTTGTCACATCTCAAGAGCCAGCCAATCAGTGTCCTGCTGGGCCAGCTCCCATGGCAACTAGAGAGAAACAATTTCACCTAAGGTCAGGCAACGTGGTGTAGTGGTTTGAATGCTGGACTATGACTGAAGACCAGGGTTCAAATTCCTGCTCAGCCATGGAAACCTTGAGTAAGTCACATTCTTTCAGCCTCAAAGGACAGCAAGGGCAAACCTCTTCTGAACCTAAATGACTTGAAAGAACACAACAACAATAGCCCCCCAAAGGGGAAAAAATATATAGCTGCCCTCTTCAGATAAGGACACATGGAGAGCTGAACCAAGGAGGAGTGGGAAGCTGGTCCAAATTACTCAAGTCATCCGCAAGAACCCCAAAGCCCAACCAGGCTGCATTTTGTTGGTCTTTCTGTGTAGTATCATGATTTGTCAATTGTTTTAGATATCTACTGTAACATTTGTGAATTTCAACCAATATAATGACATACAAAATTTGAAATCACATTCAGAGATTTTTGGCCAGTCTATCAGGGGCTCATGTTGTTTCTAGGTGGGTCAACATTAGAAGCTGCACTCCTTGGGAGTCACTCCCACAACCACCAAGTGGAGTGGAGCAGCCTAACCATGGGGGAAAGGAGGGAAGCCTTCCTGCCCCCAACTCTAGCCTATTCCAGGTGCTAGTGGCCCTCCCCCATTTCTCTACCCACTCCCACCTACCTACCTTTCTTGACACTGAAAATGCTGTACACTAGAAACCCTCTGTACAGCAGGTCTCCAAAGTATCTTCTTCATCTGCAGGAAATCAGGGATGGGGAGCAGGAGAGAAGCCCTTTCCTCAGATTCCTCTCCTTCAGGTACTGCTGGAAGCCTCTTTCCTACTGGCCCAAATCAGGAGTGCTTACCTGGAGATGCTTCTCCAGCCAGCTGGCCCACAGCCACCGACTGGTGGTTCCTGTCCACTGTAGTTGGCCAATGGCTGGGGGATTCTCCCCATTTTTCCCACCAGAGCCTGAACCTACTCTCAACTAATAACCCAGATTTTTTACCGGTATATCCAGGAGTGATCATCGAGAGGTTGCCAATTAATTTTCAGGCAAGGTACAAGGTGTTGGTTATTATCTTTAAAGCCTCTTACATGGTTTGGTCCATGTTACCTATGGGATCACCACCTCCTGTATAATCTGCCCTGTACACTCAGGTCCTCTGGCAGACACTTACTCCAGTCAGCCAGGACTAAATTGGCAGCTGTCACATGGGTTGCATCCACACTGCAGAAATAATCTAGTTTGACACCACTTTAACTGCCTTTGCTTCATATTGTGGAATTCTGGGAATGGTTGTTTGTTGTGGCACCAGAACAGAGCCCAGAAGACTTTTCTTCAGCTGCCCCTAGATTGTGGAACCAGAATCTTTTCTGCCAGAAGAGATAGGACAGCAGAATATACTGTCCAGATTTAAAACAGTATTAAAGCCCAGTCTCTTTCGGCAGGGCTATCCAGGTGTTTTTTAAATTTTGAATTTTAAATCATGAAGTTTAAATATAGGTTGATTGTTTTAGTGCGTATTTGTCTTACCGTATTTGTTCTTTTAAACTGATGTTGCCTATTTTTAACTGATGTTGTAGGTTGTATATTAATCTCTTGTTGTTTCTTACCTTGATCCATGGGGTAAGGTGGTTAAGTCATCATCATCATCATCATTGGCCCTGATGGGAAGAGGCAGCATCGTAGTAAAAGGCTCTCTTCTGGCTCTACACTCATGCACAAATTTCTTCTTTAAACATAGCTGTTCATGTCAACCATGACTGGATCAAAGCATTAAGGGCTGGTAGGGCCCCCACTTTGCCCCCACATCTGAACTCACTCAGGACATTTGTATGCATATATGCACATGCACACACAATATGCAGTGGAAGAAAAGTATGTTACCTACATATAGCACAAAGCTTCTTTGGCTCCATTCTCCACATCCATTTATTGAGTGTGGACCTTTACATAAGAGAACTGTACAAATATGCAGACATTGAGAGGGAAACCATACAAAATTGGAGGAAGGGTCAGGAGCCTCTTACATTAATGGAAAGCCCTTCAGGTGATTGTTATGTGATGGGTGCTTAGTGGCACATTTTTTGTTGTCTTCTTTTCTTTCTAGGACTCTGGGTTTTAATCTCTCCAGCACTGCACATAAACCTAGGAAGTTCTTCCATTCCGTGTTCAGTTGAAAACTACAAGCATACTAATTTCAGCATGGCCAAAGAGCTCTGCACATAAATATATGTGCATTGTAGGGATCTTTCATCTGAAGAAGAGGTGGGAAAAATATAATTACAACTTTGATTTAAGAGTCAGGTTTGTTGCATCCATTCCCAATTCCCAGCTCACTTGCCTGTATTTATTTATTATGGTACTGATTAATTTTATGAAACAATGAATTTCTAAAAATTCTTCACTGCCTCAGAAGCAGGCATTGATTTTTTTTTTTACTGTGCTCCAGATGGGGCAAATGTTGTTGGAGGCAGCAGTGCTTATTGCTATTGTATCCCCTTTTTACTTGTGCTGGTCTATGACTGTAATAAAGATGAACTGAACTAAACTTTGTTGCTGTTGTTGTTTTGTTTTGATTTGATTTTTTTTAAAAAAACCCTACAAAAACGAATATGCCAATGAAGGTTGTGTTGTCTGAGCCCCAGTTCTGGGGAAAGAGCGGGATACAAATAAATATAATAACAATAATATTTGTCTCAGAATATTTTCTGGCAATTTCCAGCATCAGATGCAACATTTTATTCCCACTTCCTGTGGGTTTCTTTTTAATTGTGAGACAGATGAGAACAAAAATGTATCCTTCCCCTTTTTCATCTCTCTTTCTCTTTTAATATTGATTGATTGATTGATTGATTGATTGATGAAATACCAATTGAGTCTCTCATATCCATAATACTTGGGACCAGAAGTGCTATGGATTTTGGAATTTTTCAGATATTGGAATATTTGCATATAGTAAAGGTAAAGGTATTCCCCATTGACAAGGTTGTCAAGTGTCTGACCATAGGGGACAGTCATCTCTGTTACTAAGCCAAAGAGCCACCATTGTCAGAGACTACTCTGTGATCATGCGGCCAGCATGATTGCACAGAAAGCTTTTTACCTTCCCACCGAAGTGGTACCTGTTTATCTACTCACATTTTCACGCCTTCCCCTAATTCTAGGAGAACATGGTTACTCCCACCTCAAGCCTGTAACCAGATCATCACTGTTAGTTAGGACCAGAACTAAGGGCTGTTGCAGACCACCCCAAAGGGCTAGCCTGGGGGTAGAGTTGGGGTGGGGCAGCCACATGCCAGCTGCCCCAACCCCACCCCACCGCTGTCCTGATGCCACGCAGCCCTACGCATGCCATGTGGTGTCAGGACACCCTTCCAGTGCAGCGTTTAAACATGCTGCGCCAAAAGGGCGCTGAAGAGCTGTGGCGCCAGCTCTTAGGGTGGCCTTTTGCCACCCCAATAGGAGCTCTTTTTGGGAGGATTGGGGCCACAGCGTGGGGTTGCTGCAGCCCCGATCTACCCCTTCCCAAGGCAGCTCTGTGCTGCTCCAAACGGCCGAGCTGCATTGGCCCTAAAATAGATGATCCCCTAGTTGCCTCTTCCACCATCTGGACAATGAAATTGTCAGCAAGACAAGTGAAAAATTTGTTGCACCTTAAATTTTTGGCAGTTTGACTTCCAACAAATATCAGGATATCTGAAATTCCCCATTACTACCACATCTCTCCTTTCTCTTGGCCATCTCTTCCAGGAAGGCATCATCCAAACCCTCAGTTTGGCTTGGAGATGGGTAGTAGACCCCCACCTCCACCATCACATCCCTGTTGTTTCTCTCCCTCTTAATTTTTATCCAGATGCTCTTAACTTGGCTTCCAGGATTTAAGTCATGGATCTGTTCATAGGAGTACACATCCGTAATGTATAATGCAACTACATGCAGATGTGACATTGACAACACCAGCAGAACCTGGCAATTACCCAAGGGGAAATACTATGAGAACTCACACTTCTTGAGACCAACCTGGGAAAGCTTTCTGTCAGGTGGGGAAAGAACTTGGAGACGGAATTCCATTTAGGAGGAAGGAAATTGTGCTTACCTTATTTACTGTACACCAACTTTAAAATACTCCACATCTGATCTAGGTATCTTCATATTATTCATACTATACTACAAAAATATTCCCATTTATACCAGACTTAATGTTATTAATGTTAAAGCCTTAATATTGAACATAAAGAAAACAAAAATAATGACCACTGAGGACCTTCACAAGTTTAGCCTAGACAATGAAAAAATAGAAATAGAAATAGTAAAAGAATTCCCATACCTGGGATCAAACATTGATAGAAATGGGGACTGCAGTCAAGAAATCAGAAGAAGACTAAAAATGGGGAGAGTGGCTATGAAAGAACTAGAAAAGATACTAAAACGCAAAGATATACAACTCAGAACAAAAATTAGAATCATACAAGCCACTGTATCTCTATTACCATGTATGGATGTGAGAGCTGGACAGTCAAGAAAGAAGATAGGAGGAAAATCAACTCCTTTGAGATGTGGTGCTGGAGAAGAGTGCTGAGGATCCCATGGACAGCCAAAAGGACAAACAGGTGGGTCCTAGAGCAGATCAAGACAGAAACCTTCCTGGGAGCCAAGATGATCAAAGTGGGGCTGTCATACTTTTGAAAAAACATGAAAAGGGAGGACTCATTGGAAAAACAAAAATGATGGGAAAGGCGGAGGGAAGAGAAGAAGGCCACATGCCAGATTGATGGACTGTATTAAGGAGGTCACTATGGGTATTAAGGGGTTGCTGGAATTAAGCAGAGCAGTGGAGGACAGAGGGTCTTGGAGATGTCTCATCCATCGAGCCTCCCTGAGTCAAGATTGATTCGAGGACAGTTAACAACAATAACAAATACCGTACTACTAAAAAAAAAGATTGTCAAAAATGTGTTTCTCAAGGGTTTGGAAACCCTGATGAAAAGAATCTTGGAGTGATAAGAATCTTTGAATTTCAGGAATTTTTGTGCACAAAAATTGCACATGGCTTTTTGGTGCAGAAAAAAAAATCTGCACAAGAATCAGCATGGGCAGGCCCCACCCCCCACCTCCACA